CTCTTAACTTGCTGGATGTGACATGCTCCAGGGAAGAGGCACTTGCTTTACACTCCATCAGATTCAAAATAAAACAAAACATCATCTGTAACACGTATTAATTCTGTCAGCAAGATGGAAAGCCAAAGGCCTGAAGAGTTTTTGGTTTTTGAATCAAAACAGGTGGAGACAGAGGATGACAGCCAAATTCTGTCACAGTCTAAGAACTGCATTGAACTTTTCAGGGGCTTGGTGACATTATTCTGTATATTGAGCAGTGTCTTTGAGATCTGATCAGGAGTAGCAAGCATAGAAGGGGGTGGACACTCACACAATAGACCAGGGGTCCTCAAACTTTTAAACAGAGGGCCAGGCCACAGTCCCTCAAACTGTTGGAAATCCGGATTATAATTTGAAAAAAACATGAATGAATTCCTATGCACACTGCACATATCTTATTTGTAGTGCAAAAAACACTTAAAAACAATACAATAATCAAAATGAAAACAATGTTAAGAAATATAAACGTATTAGTATTTCAATGGGAAGTGTGGGCCTGCTTTTGGCTGATGAGATGGGATTGTTGTTGTTGTTGTGTGCTTTCAAGTAGTTTCAGACTTAGGTTGACCCTGAGTGAGGGCCGGGTAAATTACCTTGGAGGGCCGCATTCAGCCCTCGGCCCTTAGTTTGAGGACCCCTGCAATAAACTCTCAGTTAACCAGAAATCAAGAACCAGAACTCAAGCAGCCGAAAAAAAATTGAAGACATAATACTTTAAATAAAAATCAAAACACAAATCAAAGTGCGTTTGGTGGGGATGAGAGACAGGGCCTTCTCAGTGGTGGCCCCTCGGCTATGGAACGTCCTTCTTACAGACATTAGATCGGCCCCCTCCCTGTTAGCATTTCGGAGGAAAGTGAAGACCTGGTTGTTCGAGCAGGCATTTGAAAAGGCAGTGTAACGAACATAGGAATATGGAACAATTGGATGATGAGATTGGATCTTGATTTTAACTATGAGAAGCAAATGAGATGTTTTATCGATTTATAATGATTGTTTATTATGCTACTGTTTTAATTGTTTTTAACTGTTTTATGATGTTTGAGTATTGAATTTTGCTACTGTTAACCACTTTGAGTTGCCAGAGGGCTGAGAAAAGCAGTATATAAATATAATAAATAAATAAATAAATAGTAAATAAACACATGTATAATACTGTGAAACTGTGTTACATAGATTTAAGTTAAATTTTAGTAGTTCTATATTATTATCAAGTCAATTCGGTGTTTATGGTTTGATATACCATGAGATATAGTATCAATCCTATTTGTAACAGTAGCCCTGAAGCAACCAGAAACTACATTTATCCAGCATCTACTAATCCGTATGGGCGCCAGTTAACTGAGGGCCCTTCCACACAGCCGTATAACCAAGAATATCAAGGTAGATAATCCACAATATCTGCTTTGAACTGGTTATCTGAGTCCACGCTGCCATATAATTCAGTTCAATGTGGATTTTATACAGCTGTGTGGAAGGGGCCAGAGAGTCTACTGCAGGGGTCCTCAAACTACGGCCCGGGGGCCGAATACGGCCCTCCAAGGTCATTTACCCGGCCCTTGCTCAGGGTCAACCTAAGTCTGAAATGACTTGAAAGCATGCAACAACAACAATCCTAATCAGCCAAAAGCAGGCCCACACTTCCCACTGACATACTAATAAGTTTATATTTGTTAAAATTGTTCTTCATTTTAATTATTGTATTGTTCTAAAGTGTTTTTTGCACTTCAAATAAGATAGGTGCACTGTGCATAGGAATTCATTCTTTTTTTTTCACATAATAATCCGGCCCTCCAACAGTTTGAGGGACTGTGACCTGGCCCTCAGTTTAAAAAGTTTGTGGACCCCTGGTCTACTGTATACATACATACATACATACAAAATATGAATGATTGCAAAAGGGGGACAAACAGAAATTTGGAGAAAAGGGAAAAAAAACGTAAGGGGAGGAAGTATATGCACTGCCTGATACAATTTCACCATATCTTCCAAAATATATAATTTTTTAAACTTGACATAAATAATGATAAAACTTTATGTATATACCGCTCTATCTCCCCGAAGGGACTCAGGGCAGCTTCCAAGTAACAACACCAAAACATACAGAGTAGACAACATAAGCATAAAAAATGACACAACACACATATATATTAAAAGTAATCCTGCCTGTTCTTCATGCCTATTTGTTAGGGTGAGGAAAAGGGGTTGAGACAATTTTAAAAGGCCACCCCGAGGCTAGTGCAAAATCAAAATATAGGGGCCAGGGAGTTGGATAAAGTACTATAATGGGTCTGTGGCTGCTCATTTCCATTCCTATTAGAGGAATGACTGGGGTAGTAAGTAGGAAGTTCAAGGCCATATTCTAACAATGTCTAGGGCTGGGCTAGTATCGGTCATTCTCAAAGGCTTGTTGAAACCACCAGGTGACATGTTGGCAAATTTTAAGATAATATATTTTCATGTGTGGCTGAGATAGTAGGAATTTCTGAACATTGTACATTGAAAAGGGAGCCCCTGGTGACACAATTGGTTAAACCACTAAGCTTACCAAAAGATCACAGGTTTGAATCTGGGGAGTGATGTGAGCTCCCACTGTTAGCCCCAGCTTCTGCCAACCTAGCAGTTCGAAAACATGCAAATGTGAGTAGATCAGTAGATACCGTTCCGACGGGAAGGTAACTGCACCCCTTGCAGTCAAGCCGGCCACATGACTTTGGAGGTGTGTATGGACAACGCCGGCTCTTCAGCTTAAAAATGGAGGTGAGCACCAACCCCCAGAGTCAGACACGACTGGACTTAATGTCAGGGGAAAATCTTTACCTTTACCTGAACACTGAATAGTGAATGTTTATCTTTCCCATTTTGGAGTATAAGTGTTTTTACAACATTAAAAACGTGTACGATCCAATAGAGTTCACCCTCTGTTAAATTCCACGTCACAGAGATGTAGTTTTTAAAAACATGAACAAGCCCAGAGTTTTGCAGCTGTGAGTTGAAATCAGATTATAAATCCTACACCCACATGTCTCAGGTAGGTAAACACTGAAAGTCTTACTGTCTTCTAAAATCATAACTTTCATCTGGATATTTCCTCCGATGAACACATGAGGCATGTGTGTTTCCCCAGAGTTTTACCACAAAACCCAGTATCAAAGTAGATCAGGCCATGTCATCAGTCTACATTTGGGAGGAGGCACGTGCACACTTGTCATTTAGCTTTTTAGTGTTTCATTTTTGAAAGAACCTCTTGGTTTCAGCTGCCATTTGAAAAACTTCATTCATACCCATTAAAACATAACCTTAAATAAAAGAGAAAAAAGAAAGATCAGGGTGGAAGGGAGGAAGATAACTGTCCCCCACCTTTTGCAGGTTTTTTCAATATCTTGCAATTTCAAAAAACTGAGGCTATGTATTCCGAATGCTTGGAAGACATTCCCTTTTCTCCAGGCAAGGTTTTATCCAGGCAGTTGGTTTGGTGCAAATTGAGACATGTGAAGTTGCCCAAGCAAATGTATTACTTGTTTTGAAAACTATAGTGTAGTATGCATCTATGTCAGCAGCAGTTAAGATTAACTCCCAGAAGTGACAGTCAATGTGGCCGTCCGTCAGGATGTTGAATTCCAAAAAAACTTAGACGACTAACAGTTGAGAACCACAACATTGTGTGTATATGTTCTCTGAAGTAGTAGGCCAAGTATATGGTGTATGTGTTTGTTTAGAGTGTGTTTGCTTGGTGCCTTCAAGTCATTTCCAACTCAAGAAAATCCTAAAACATCCTTATCTTGTTCATGTCCAGCATTTATTTTTAATTTTTTAACCATTACATCTGGCCCGGCCATAGGTTTTTAAATCCTTGTGTGTTAATGTTTACATGTGATTTATATTAATTGTATTGTTATTATTTTTTGCTTATTGCTTTCTTGTTTATTGATGTGTTGTTGGGTTTGGCCTCATGTAAGCCACTCCGAGTCCTTTGGAGAGATGGAGGCAGGGTATAAATAAAGTTATTATTATTATTATTATTATTATTATTATTATTATTATAATCATCATCATCATCATCACAGTATTTCCTTGGCAAGATTTGTTCAGAGGGGGTCTGCTTTTACCTTCTTCCAAGACTGGGAAAGACTGACTTGCCCAAGGCAGGCATGTAGTCGGGGGCAGGGGGGGGGGGGGCTTGAAATTCTCCAGCCGAAATTCTCATGGTGGTTCTCGAAAAGGCCTTACTGGTGCATTATTTAAACTGTTATGTTTATTCATATCATGATCTGATCACCATACTCAATATATCCCATATGCATGGGGGTATTGGGGTAATGATACAAAAGGTTTGCTAGGGTAGACCCTCTTTCACTCAGACTCAGCCCCCCCCAAAACTCAGCCCCCCCCCGAACCCCCCCCTGAAAAAACTCAGCCCCCCCCAAATCGAAATCCTGGCTACGGACCTGGCCCAAGGTCACCCAGTGTGTTTAGGAGCCCTCGGTGGCGCAGTGGGTTAAACTCTTGTGCCGGCAGGACTGAAGACCGACAGGTCACAGGTTCAAATCCGGGGAGAGCCGGATGAGCTCCAGCTCCTCATGTGGGGACATGGCCAATTCTCTCACACCAGAAGCGACTTGCAGTTTCTTAAGTCACTCCTGACATGACAAAAATAAAAATAAAAAACAGTGTGTTTCCATGGCTGAGCATGATTTACATTCAGGTCTCCACAGTTGTTGTCCAATGCTCAAACCATGACACAACACTGGCTTTGTCTTGTATATATACAGTATATGTTGTTTAGTAAAACATATTGATAGCAGCTATATATACATTTCTAGATTTCCAGAACTCAGATTGCATTAATAGTGTTGGTCGAGTAATAAACTACATTTTAAAATATTCTGGACCTACTAGTCTTTGAGATCAACTTATCACACTGCCAACACTTGCTTATTTGTTTCATTTTTCTCCTGTAGGTCTGGCGAGAGTGAGCTGCGATTAGAAGACATGACTCAACATGTCAGCACTGAAGGTAGGTGCTTCTTACGCCTTTGTAGTCTGGCTTCTTAAATCTATCCAGAAAAGATCAGCAGGACTATTGAAAATGAGAGGTCAACTGAATATGTGAAGCTAGCATACGCTGAGACATATTCTTGCAAGCATAGGCTTCTGGCTGGCCACTGTGAGACACAGAATGCTAGACTCTAGTCTAGAAGTCTTGCTCTAGAAAATTTTGCCAGAAACCTTTATCAACTGCTTGCCACAGTCTCTTTCTGTCACTATCACCTGTCCTTTGTGGTCTTATTCATGCTAGATATGACTAACCTTGCTTTTTTTTAAGGACCTGTGTATTCAGCTTTGACAGCCTATCCTGATACCATTCAGACAGTTTGCTTGGGAGGAGTACTAGCAGGTTGTTTAGGTTCCATACTGTCAGAACTTGCTGGACCACCATCCAAACAACCTAGGAAATACAGACGACATCCAGGATGACTCTGGGAAGAAGAAAGGGACCCAAAACATACCAATTCAATTGAAAAGAACTGCTGCAACCATTGATGCTGATAATAATAATACTAATACTTATTATTATTATTATTATTATCATTATTATTATTATTTATACCCTGCCACCATCTCCCCAAGGGGACTCGGGGCAGCTTACATGAGGCCAAGCCCAACAACGCATCAATAAACAACAAAGCAGCAAGCGAATAAAACAGTACAATTAATATAACTCACATATAAGCAATAACACACAAAAATTTAAAAACCTTATGGCCAGCCCAGATGTAATAGATTAAAATTTTAAAATAAACACTCGGCACGAACAGAGGTAGGATGTATCTAAGCAGGAGAGCTTTAAAGGATAATGTAGGGAGACCAACCCAACAGGTAGTTAAGGTGCTTCTGAGGACATTTTGCAGGGAATTAATCAGAGCAGGGCATTGTTTCCTTTATTCAGGGAGGGCACACTGGGACAGCCACGTTTTCAGGCTCCATTTAAAGACTGCCAATGTGGGGGCTTGTCTGATATCCTTGGGGAGTGAGTTCCAGAATCGGGGGGCCACCATAGAAAAGGCACTGCCAGGCCATCAAATGCTAATCAAGGTGGTCAGTTGAAACATTCACACCTAGCTCCAGCAGACAAGAGTCCTTTGTCCCACCCTGGTCTTTCCACAGATATATAAACCCATTTTCCTAGTTCCAACAGACCTCACTACCTCTGAAGATGCTTGCCATAGATGCAGGCGAAACGTCAGGAGAGAATGCCTCTAGAACATGGCCATATAGCCCAAAAAAAACCTACAACAACCAAGTAAAACTTTATTTCTATCCCGCCCTAACTCCCATGGGGACTCAGGATGGTTCACAATATTAAAGGCAAATATTCAATGCCATATAATATAACAATAGACTAAAACAATTCAAAATAAACATAACAGAGAATTCGACAATGAAACAAATCACATGAAAACAATAATAATAAATTAATAATAATAATAATAATAATTAATAATAATAATAATAAACTTTATTTATACCCCGCCACCATCTTCCCCAACGGGGACTCGGGGTGGCTTACATGAGGCCAAGCCCGAACAACAGATTACAATAAAATAAAATACAAATTGCAATAAAATAAACAACATAGCATTAAAGTATAAAACATATAAGCATATAAACAATATACACAAAACATTACACTATGTTAATAAAACAGAAGTTAAAAGCTGTGCCTAAATCCCATTCCTTACTTCATAGTGCCGGATCTAGTACAGTATTCTGTTAATAGTAGCCAGCCAGATGCCACGGGGACATTCCTGAGCAGGGCATAGTGGAGGTTATCCTTTTAGCCTTAATTATTTGTAGCCATCAACAGTGACCTTGCCTTCTGTTAATACGTAATCATTTCTTAATGCTTGGAGTCATTTTTAATGATCTAAAGTGGAAATACAGCCAGTTCATGATTTATTGCATGAAAATAATTCCTTTCATTTTAGACCCTGCCAGTACTTCCAGCTTAGTTTTCATATGCATATTTCCCCCGATTCCAAACGCTAGGCATGATCCTTGAACTCTAAAGGTATAACTTTGGATCCTGGAAACAGTACTTAATCACGTCTTTTCTGCATCTTTAAAATACGTTCAGAATTCTTGTAGGAGGAGACACTCTTTTTAAAATATATATATCATGAAAGAAAGTGGCAGGAGAGAAAAAGGATGCAGCGCCATCCTCAGGTTTGATGACTAAATAATTGCATGGCTCATTTACTGAATCTGTTGTGTTGTGTGCAAACTCAAAGGGAGATTACTGGGTTCCAGTGCTTGATGGACAACTCTAATATCACAGAACCCACAATCTAGGACAGTGGTTCTCAACCTTGGCCACGGTGGTCCACGCTCTGGTTACATCCCGTATAGATTACTGCAACACTCTCTACGTGGGGTTGCCTCTGAAGACTGCCCGGAAGCTGCAACTAGTCCAACGTGCGGCAGCCAGATACTAACAGGAGCAGGGTACAGGGAGCATACTACTCCTCTGTTGCGCCAGCCCCAATGGCTGCCAATTTGCTTCCAAGCACAATTCAAAGTGCTGGTGTTCACCTATAAATCCCTAAACGACTCCAGCCCAGTTTACCTGTCCGAATGTATTCTCCCCTATGAACCATCAAGGTTGTTAAGATCTTCTGGAGGGGCCCTGCTCTCGGTCCCACCACCCTCGCAAGTGCGTCTGGTGGGGACGAGGGACAGGGCCTTCTCGGTGGTGGCCCCTTGGCTCTGGAACTCTCTCCCACTGGAGATTAGAACTGCCCCTTCTCTCCTGACTTTTAGAAAGCTGGTGAAAACTTGGCTCTGGAATTTAGCATTTGATGAGTGAGTCAATAACTCTTGACCACACGGACAGATGGTGATGAATTGTGATTTCATTTTGATGACTTGGCCTTATGTAATTATATGATTGCTTTTAATGTATTTTATGTATTACTGAATTATGGGATGTAATGTTGTAAACTGGCCTGAGTCCCTCTCCGGAGGTCGAGAAGACCGGTATATAAAAGTTCTAAATAAATAAATAAACCTGGGGTCCCCAGATGTTTTTAGCCCACAAGTCCCAGAAATCCCAGCCAGTTTACCAGCTATTAGGATTTATGGGAGTTGAAGGCCAAAAACATCTGGGGACCCCAGGTTGAGAACCACTGATCTAGAAGAAGAAAGGCCAAGTGGCACCAATATAGTATTACTCCATATATGCATTGTTTTTCTGACTGTGGGGGTATCGAACAAGAGAGGACATTATATACATTTCTCCCACTCATTGTTAGACTTCTGCTTAGCCCTATGCTATCTTTGCAGATGCCTCCAGATGTTATACTCTTGCATGTATGACACTTAACAATAAAGGGTGGAAATCTGTATTTTAAATGTTTGTGTATTCATATGGGTATCTGGACTCCAGACCAAATTCTGTAAATGCATCCATGCAGGCCCGTAGCAGAGGGGGGCTGAGTTTGATTTGCGGGGGGGGGGGGGGCTCAGGATCTATCCTAGCAAACCTTTTGTATCATTATCCAAATACCCCCATGCATATGGGATATATTGAGCATGGTGATCAGATCATGATATGAATAAACATAGCAGTTTAAATAATGTACCAGTAAAGCCTTCTGAGAATTTGGGGGGGGGGGGGGTTGAAGCCCCTCAAGGCTGAAGCCCCCCTCCCCCTAGCTATGGGCCTGCATCCATGGGTTCTGAAGCTTGGATTGTGCATTGCCCACATGCATGTATTCACAATGATTGTATGGTGCTCATGTTTATTTTGCACATTGCCGCAAAATACTACTTTGTATAAAAAGAGCTACAACTGATTCCTTCTTTTCTCCTTCTCATAGAATGGAATGATGAAAGGGACCCGGCCAGTGAATTTCCAAACCCTCCTGCAGTGCAGCCCCAAGGTTTTGTGATGCAGGTAAGGACAGCCCTCTAATTCAACACTGAGACTTTGAGGTTCACAACCCTTCCTTAGAGAAAGAGCACCTCTTTCTTTAACAAACTCCTCTTTGATAAAAATTGCATTGGTTTAATTAGTATTATTTAAAGTTCCACTTTCCCAATGTATCTACCAAACAACAAACAACTCCATATTGTTTTCATTAATGATATGAACTTAAGAATTTGGACCAATTACTTCAATTTTGCAGTTTAGAAAACGAAAGAGATCTATATCCCTTCAAAAGTTTTCTTTCTCAAGAAACATTTGAATGACATTTTTGCATTTCTATGAAGATGTCACCCTAGCCGGAGTTATGTATGTTTACATTCTTAATTTTAATATAATTATAGGGGAGCAGACACCTCAGGTCATATAGATTTGTTCTTATATCATGCTAAACTAGTGTTCTATTATGTTTAGATTGTTGTTTTATATGTTATTGGTTTCATCTTGTATAGTATTAGGTGTTTATTTTATGCATGGTTTTAGGCACATTGTGCCATATGTAAGCCGCCCCGAGTCCCTTCGAGGAAATGGAGGCGGGGTACAAAAATAAAGTTGTTATTATTATTATTAGTATTTTTTTGTCATGTCAGGAGCGACTTGAGAAAACTGCAAGTCGCTTCTGGTGTGAAACAATTGGCCGTCTGCCAATTCTATCACACCACTTATTCATTTATTCAGTTTAGGCCTTCTGTACAAGCTACAGACTCTTCTTTGTACCTCCATTGTTTGCCCCATTGAAAATTATAGTTTGCTAATATCCACTTTTTCACATATTTATGCAAAATCTGGGAACATATATCCCTTTGATATGGGGGTAGTACTGCATTTTTAATCATTAAGTCTGTTGAGAGAAGGATATTTGTTTGCACGGTTGGCCTTTTTTATTAAAAAGAAATCAGTACCCCTTATGAGGAAAATCCTCATTTGACTTCGGTTGCCTTGAGTTCTTATTGTGGCAAGAAGAACCCCCTGGAAAACAATCAGTCTCTTGGATGCAAACTGGGAGGACAATGTATTAAAACTAACTCATATGTCCTACTGTTGGCAAAGGCCATCCTGTACAAATGGAGAGACAGCAAGTTAAGTCTAGGGCCCCTTCCATACAGTTGTATAAAATCCACATTGAACTGGATTACTGTATATACTCGAGTAGAAGCCTAGTTTTTCAGCCCCTTTTTTAGGCCGGAAAAGCTGCCCTCAGCTTATACTTGAGTCAAAGTTATTTATTATTTTACTCTGTTATTACTATTATTTTATTACATTTATTATTTTACTCTATTATTGGTATTATTACATTTACATTATTTTACTCTATTATTATTATTTTATTACATTTATTTTACTCTATTTATTTTTATTTTTATTACATTTATTATTTTACTTTATTATTTTTATTAAATTTATTATTTTACTTTATTATTATTAGAAGGATACGTAAGCACATTTACACTGAAAAAGGTTAGAATAATGGTTTAATCAAAGTTGGTCAGTCCTATTACATTTATTTTACTCTATTTATTATTATTATTATTACATTTATTATTGTTATTATTATTACATTTATTATTTTACACTATTACTGGCATTATTAAATTTGCATTATTTTTTCTATTATTATTTTATTACATTTAGTTTACTCTATTTATTTTTATTATTACATTTATTATTGTACTTTATTATTGTTATTGTTGTTGTTGTTCATTCGTTCAGTCGTCTCCGACTCTTCGTGACCTCATGGACCAGCCCACGCCAGAGCTCCCTGTCGGCCGTCACCACCCCCAGCTCCTTCAAGGTCAGTCCAGTCACTTCAAGGATGCCATCCATCCATCTTGCCCTTGGTCGGCCCCTCTTCCTTTTGCCTTCCACTTTCCCCAGCATAATTGTCCTCTCTAGGCTTTCCTGTCTCCTCATGATGTGGCCAAAGTACTTCAACTTTGTCTCTAGTATCTTTCCCTCCAGTGAGCAGTCGGGCTTTATTTCCTGGAGGATGGACTGGTTGGATCTTCTCGCAGTCCAAGGCACTCTCAGCACTTTCTCCAACACCACAGTTCAAAAGCATCGATCTTCCTTCGCTCAGCCTTCCCTAAGGTCCAGCTCTCACATCCGTAGGTGACTACAGGGAATACCATGGCTTTGACTAGGCGGATCTTTGTTGTCAGTCTGATGTCTCTACTCTTCACTATTTTATCGAGACTGGACATTGCTCTCCTCCCAAGAAGTAAGCGTCTTCTGATTTCCTGGCTACAGTCTGCATCTGCAGTAATCTTTGCCCCTAGAAATACAAAATTTTTAAATAAGCAATGCATGGAAGTGGAAGAAGACAACAGAATAGGAAGGACAAGAGACCTCTTCCAGAAAATTAGAAACATTGGAGGTAAATTTCAGGCAAAAATTGGTATGATAAGAAACAAAGATGGCAGGGACCTAACAGAACTGAAGAGATCAAGAGAAGGTGGCGAGACTATACAGAAGATCTGTATAGGAAGGATAATAATATTGAGGATAGTTTTGACGGTGTGGTGAATGAATTAGAACCAGACATCCTGAGGAGTGAGGTAGAATGGGCCTTAAGAAGCATTGCTAACAACAAGGCAGCAGGAGATGACGGGATCCCAGCTGAACTGTTTAAAATCTTAAAAGATGATGCTGTCAAGGTGATGCATGCCATTTGCCAGCAAATATGGAAAACACAAGAATGGCCATCAGACTGGAAAAAATCAACTTATATCCCCATACCAAAAAAGGGAAATGCGAAAGACTGCTCAAACTTCCGTACAGTGGCCCTTATTTCTCATGCCCGTAAGGTAATGCTCAAGATCCTGCAAGGAAGACTCCAGCAATACATGGAGCGAGAGTTGCCAGATGTTCAAGCTGGGTTTAGAAAAGGCAGAGGAACGAGAGACCAGATTGCCAATATCCGCTGGATAATGGAGAAAGGCAGGGAGTTTCAGAAAAACATCTACTTCTGCTTCATTGACTATTCTAAAGCCTTTGACTGTGTGGATCATAATAAATTGTGGCAAGTTCTAGGTGGGATGGGCATCCCAAGCCACCTTGTCTCTCTCCTGAGGAATCTGTACAAGGACCAAGTAGCAACAGTCAGAACTGACCACGGAACAACAGACTGGTTCAAGATTGGGAAAGGCGTACGGCAAGGCTGCATCCTCTCACCCAACTTTTTTAACTTGTATGCAGAACACATCATGCGATGTGCGGGGCTTGATGAATGCAAGGCTGGGGTGAAAATTGCTGGAAGAAACATTAACAATATGCAGATGACACCACCCTGATGGCCGAAAGCGAGGAGGAGCTGAGGAGCCTTCTAATCAAGGTGAAAGAAGAAAGCGCAAAAGCCGGGTTGCAGCTAAACGTCAAAAAAACCAAGATTATGGCAACAAGAATGATTGACAACTGGAAAATAGAAGGAGAAACCGTGGAGGCCGTGACAGACTTTGTATTATTGTTATTACATTTAAATTATTTTACTCTATTATTATCTTATTACATTTATTTTACTCTATTTTTATTTTTATTACATTTATTATTTTACTTTATTTGTATTAAATTTATTATTTTACTTTCTTTCTTATTATTAGAAAGATACGTAAGCACATTTACACTGAAAAAGGTTAGAACAATGGTTTAATCAAAGTTGGTCAGTCTTATTACATTTATTTTACTCTATTATTATTACATTTATTCTTTTTATTATTATTATTACATTTATTCTTTTTCTCTATTATTGGCATTATTACATTTTCATTATTATTTCTATTATTATTTTATTACATTTATTTTACTCTATTTATTTTTATTATTATTACATTTATTATTTTACTGTATTATTGTTATTACATTTATTATTTTACTTTCTTTATTATTATTGGAAGGATACGTAAGCACATTTACACTGGAAAAGGTTAGAATAATGGTTTAATCAAAGTTGGTCAGTCTTATTACATTTATTTTACTCTATTTATTATTATTATTGTTATTACATTTGTTATTTTACTCTATTATTGGCATTATTACATTTGCATTATTTTTTCTGTTATTCTTTTATTACATTTATTTTACTCTATTTATTTTTATTATTACATTTATTATTTTACTTTATTATTGTTATTATATTTATTATTTTACTTTATTATTATTGGAAGGATATGGTTTAATCAAAGTTGGTCAGTCTTATTTTAAATTACAGTTTTATGTAAACATTGAAAAACATTTAACCTACTGTTTACTCAATTGATGTAATTTTATTGGTATCTATATTTACTTTGTATTTCCAGTAGCTGCTGCATTTCTCACCCTCTACTTATACTCGAGTCAATACGTTTTCCCATTTTTTGGTGGTAAAATTAGGTGCCTCGGTTCATATTCAGGTCGGCTTATACTCAAGTATATACGGTATATAGTTGTGTGGACTCATGAATGACTGTATTGCTTCCATAGGTTCAGGACTGGAATCCCATGAAACCAAGGACCCTTCCACACAGAATATCAGGGCAGGAAATCCCACATTATCTGCTTTGAATTGGGATTCAGATCATGTGGGATTTTCTGCCTTGATATTCTGGGATATAGGTCTGTGTGGAAGGGCCCCCAGATAACTGCATGTATGACGTTGAAAATGAAATCACATCTCGGCATTTTTTCCCCTCTCCTTCCCCAACCCTTTATTGCCTAGATTCCAGAACTCACAATCACCACAAACTCTCCTGAGAAGAAGGAGCCTTTCAGAGTCTATCCTGTGGATCTCAACGATTCTTCACATCCATTTGATTTCAAGGTTCATCCTACATCCTATGAGGAACTGAAAGTGCCATGGGGCTTCATGCCAGGAACAGATTCCCATCCTATGGGGCAGTTAGATGTGCCTGACTTCAGCAGAAATGATGTCACCACAGAAGGCTCTTTCATGGAAGAGTGCATGGAGGACCAGTTGAGAAGGTACCAAGAACTACCCTATCGCTTGGAGGAAGATGCCATTGACCGGGAACTGGAGCAGCTTTACCTGTCCCATTTGAGCCGACTCCGAGCAGAAGAGCTTGGAGGAAGAGGAGAGTGGCCCGAGGAGGGTTCAGGCAACCCTGGCAACTCTGCATCCTCTCTCATTGCCTTGCGGCAGAGCATCTTGACTGACCGCGACCTGATAGTCAACTGGACAGGCCCTGAGAGAGCACTCAACAGCTCCCTGGCAGAGGAAATCACCCTCCACTATGCCAAGCAGCGGAGCGATGACTCCAGAGACAGTGAAGAGGAAGGATTCACACCAGGGTATGCAACCCTTGCACCACCTGATATGATGGGACAAGGCCGTGAGAGTCCACCAGTCTTATTAGAAGGTTGCTTCCTAAATCACTTGGAAGAGGGAAGTGTTCAGCAAAGCTCCACTGAGGACTCTGACTCATTTGCCAGCCTGAGAGTGGTGCCACCCAACAGCTTACGACCAGCTATTCAGGAGGCCACGGTAATGCCTCTAGTGGTCCCAGCACGGACAGTAGTGCCCTTACCACAGCGGCCCACTGAACTGGCATCCAGCCCTCTTGGTACCCATGGACAGAGCAAGAATCCAGGCCTCTTGATAGGGCAAGGGAGCCTCTGGCTAGGAGAAGGACTTCATGCCCATAAGCCCACCAAAGCCAATTCCAGTTCTCATAGTGAGCTTGAAAAGATCCTGAAACGCTCCCTGCAGTTCCTCAGCCTCTTTGTCTTCCTACCTGTGGTCTTCAGCAGCTGCATGCCCCTGGTGGCCGTTACGCTTTACCTCCTCCTAGATTGGTTCTCATAGTTTGATGGCCTTCTTGGAGGTGACAAAGGGTCCATGAAGGGGACCTTCAGTAGTTTGGCTCCATCCCCATTTCTTCTGAACAACCATGGTTTGTATGAATAAGAGGGACAGGGAAACAGAGAAAGAGGACAACTCAAAACCTCTGGGGAAGTCTAAGTCTTAAATTATGGTGGCTCAAAATTTTCCAAAGTCCAGCACACTTTTCTTTCAGTTAATTTTTTTTGTGAGTGGCAGGTGATTAGAGTGTAATAGTAATTATTTATGATAACAAGGTTGGGCATTTACCAGCACCTCCCTCTCATGGCCCCATGTGTGACGAAGAGTCCACTACTCCAACAGCACCCCTTTTCTCTCTTTGCACAAAACACCCATGAAGGGCAGATGCAATGTGGACATTTCTTGGGTTTACTGTCAAAGGCTTTCATGGCCGGAATCACTGGGTTGTTGTAGGTTTTTTAAGGCTATATGGCCATGTTCTAGAGGCATTCTCTCCTGACGTTTCGCCTGCATTTATGGCAAGCATCCTCAGAGGTAGTGACCCAGCTAGAGAAACTCCAGTGGTGTAGGGCGCAGACACCCTGTCAGAGTGAAAATCTGGGGTGCTATGCACAGCGGATGAGGTTACTAGATCACACAGACACAAATCAGGACACTGCAGTATTCCAGTTTCAAAAATAACATAAAGTTTACTAAGTACATCTCAATACACGCCTACTTCTAAGCAGACAAAATCAGGAACTACAAAGCACAGCTTCAGTACAGTTTCAGAACATCTGCTTATCAGGCTCTCTGGCTGTAAGCCGGATACTCCCTATTTCTTCCCAGCTAGAGAAACTCTAGAGCAGGGGTCCTCAAACTAAGGCCCGGGGGCCAGATGCGGCCCTCCAAGGTCATTTACCCGGCCCTCGCTCAGGGTCAACCTAAGTCTAAAACGACTCGAAAGCACATAACAACAACAGCAATCCTATCTCATCAGCCAAAAGCAGGCCCACATTTCCCATTGAAATACTAATAAGTTTATATTTGTTAACATTATTCCTCATTTTAATTATTGTATTGTTTTTAAGTGTTTTTTACACTACAAATAAGATATGTACAGCGTGCATAGGAATTCATTCATGGGGGGTTTTTTTTCAAATTATAATCCGGCCCTCCAACAATTTGAGGGACTGTAACCTGGCCCTCTGTTTAAATAGTTTGTGGACCCCTGCTCTAGAGGATGCTTGCCATAGATGCAGGCAAAACATCAGGAGAGAATGCCGCTAGAACATGGCCATATACCTCTCAGGATGCTTGCCATAGATGCAGGCGAAACGTCAGGAGAAAATGCCTCTACAACATGGCCATATAGCCTGAAAAAAATCTACAACAACCCATTTCTTGGGTTGATATTCCCTGCAGCAGGCCAATCGTGAGAACGACGAAGGGTGCTTTGTCTGCACACCCACAAATCATAGAGCTGGCACTGTGTGGCGTGTTTCTCATTTTTATCTAGTATTACATTTTTCTCTCTTAAAATCAGATTTCCGTGTTGGGACTCCATAGGCTTTGTGATTGTCTCAGTCTTCTTTTCTTATATCTACCTTTCAGAGGCCAAAATTCTAATCTGAAGTGTGTTTCTTTGGGAAATGAGTTTCATACGAGTATTTCTAATTTAGGATTGATCCGAACATTTCTGAAAAAAATATATAGGTATACGCATAAGCACATATATGAAGGGATAAGCATACAGATACAACTACATATGTAAGAGATCTTTTAAGGGAAAACTATACAGGTATCATTGCGTATTTAAGATATTTCCTCTGCAGAAATTTTGACGTACTACCTGTTTTGTAATAAAGTAAAAGAAAACACATTTAAAAGGAGATAATATAATAGACTATTTTAAAATCTTAATCCATACATTGAACATTGACTTAAAAAAAAAGAGAAAAGTAGTTTAAAAATATCCATGTGAGAATTCTGAAAAAAGAGGGTTTTTTAAAAAAATCAAAAGATTTTTATGAAGACAGCCAATGCCCATTCTGTATATGGAGTATCTAGTGCAGGGGTCCTCAAACTTTTTAAACAAAGGGCCAGGTCAAAGTCCCTCAAACAGTTGGAGGGTTAGATTATAATTTGGAAAAAAAAATGAATGAATTCCTATGCACACTGCACATATCTTATTTGTAGTGCAAAAAAACTTAAAACAATACAATAATTAAAATGAAGAACAAGTTTAACAAATATATACTTATTAGTATTTCAATGGGAAGTGTGGGCCTGCTTTTGGCTGATGAGATAGGATTGTTGCTGTGTGCTTTCAAGTTATTTCAGACGTAGGTTGATCATGAGTGAGGGCCGGTAAATGACCTTGGAGGGCCGTATCCGGCCCCCGGGCTTTAGTTTGAGGACCCCTGATCTAGTGGAACTAGTTCCCCAGGCAGGCTGGAGGTTTCAGGAGCCATTTGGTTACAGTCTCAGGACGCCCTGCTTTATGTGGCAAATATTCAATGGTAGTTGGCTACCCAGAAAACTACCCAGCTCAGCATTACCTGCTGTTCTCAAGAACTTAGGCAGGTAATGAAACCTTTAAGAATACAGTCTGTTAGTAAAAATTGAATGAAATTGAATGAAATCTTAACCACTCCTATTCTGTTCCAATTCTTCTGGAAAGTAGTCAAGTTCAGAAAAAGATTGGCCAATGTAGTAGTCAGTGAACATTTTTGTATGTCATGACAAATTATGGTTTGTAGTAACCGTTATTTGTCACATATATTGTCTAGCAATATTGTCTGGCTTCCCTTTGCTATTTTTGATCATGGTTTGTTTATTTTCCTCTCCAGCCCCTTTTTTCAGCTCCTTTTATGTGATGGGAGTCACATATCACAATAAACCAGATTTCAGATAAGCACACAAAGGTTTATCATGACATGCAGGTGCCGCTAAAAATTTAGTAGTAGTTTCATGTAAAAATAACAGAAAGATGTACAATTTCACCTCCACCAAATAGCCTACATTTTTTGTTCATGGGATGCAAGGACATTGTAAGATGTATTGTCGAAGGCTTTCATGGCCGGAATCACTGGGTTGTTGTAGGTTTTCCAGGCTATATGGCCATGTTCTAGAGGCATTTTCTCCTGACGTTTCGCCTGCATCTATGGCAAACATCCTCAGAGGTTGTGAGGTCTGTTGGAACAGGGAAAATGGGTTTATATATCTGTGGAATGACCAGGGTGGGACAAAGAACTCTTGTCTGTTGAAGCTAGGTGTGAATGTTTCAACTGACCACCTTGATTAGCATTTGATGGGCTGGCAGTTGTTTGGTGTGGCTTATTCGTGCCTGGGGCAATCTTTTGTTGAGAGGTGATTAGATGTCCCTGATCATTTCCTCTCTGTTGTTTTGCTGTTGTAATTTTAAGTCTACATAGGGACCACTAAACACAGCGCCCAGACACGAATCAAGGAATGTGAAAGGCACTGCAGACTACTTCAACCAGAGAAGTCAGCCATAGCAGAGCACCTGATGAACCAACCTGGACACAGCATATTATTTGAGAACACAGAAATGCTGGACCACTCTCACAACCACGATGTCAAACTACACAAAGAAGCCATTGTAATCCACAAGCATGTGGACAATTTCAACAGCAAGGAGGAAACCATGAAAATGAACAAAATCTGGCTACCGGTATTAACAAAAACTCTAAAATTAGAACAGCAAAACAACAGAGAAGAAACAATCAGGCACATCTAATCACCTCTCAACAAAAGATTGCCCCAGACACTGCCAGGCCATCAAATACTAATCAAGGCGGTCAGTTGAAACATTCACACCTAGCTCCAACAGACAAGAGTTCTTTGCCTCACCCTGGTCATTACACAGATATATATATACCCATTTTCCTAGTTCCAACAGACCTCACTACCTCTGAGGATGCTTGTCATAGATGCAGGCAAAACGTCAGGAAAGAATGCCTCTAGAACATGGCCATATAGTCAGAAAAACCTACAACAACCCAGAAAAACGAACAATTTCACCTCCACCAAATAGTCTACGTTTTTTGTTCATGGGATACAAGGGCATTGTAAGAGATTGTGCACACATGCATGCATGTATGCCATGATCTACCAGGCCATTGTCCTGTGCAGGCTCAATGAAATTAAGAAGAGCTGTGGAAGTACAGTTTATTCAGTACATTATAATGCTTTTGGAGAACTAATTCTAGTGAGCTTTTTGCAGGCAAGAATTGCTTCTGTTCTCCTAATTTCACATTACCGTAACAGAGTGGGCAAACAGAAAGATGCTTCCATTTCCCAAAGGGTAATGACATTTCAAGTTTTTTCCCCATTATCAAGCGTCTTCAAAATCCAACGAATCGCATTCCATATGGTCTCAAAGGTGGGGCATCCAAGTTCCGTCCGTTGCCACAATCCTGCGCTCGTATTCTAGCTTCTCCATAAGAGTCTTCGGACTGCTGACTCTGCCTGAAAGGACTGCTTTCTGCTCATGGATCCACCCGTGCTTCTCAGCCACCAGCAAGGTCTGACACAGAGAACTCCAGGAAAGCTCCCCCAAACAGATTGTCCTGTATTTATTTTTGTATCTGGTGGAAAGGCCTGACCTTTTCTACTATAGAACTCACCCCAAGATAGAGAGATTTTATTTATTAATCCAGTAGCGGTTCAGACCCAGACTGGTGGGTTCCAAGGAAGATGAAAATAATTTATTACTCATTATCTATATGTGTGTGTTTGCGTGTGTATGTTGTATGCAGCGAAAAGAGTAAACTGGAAACATCATGTCTTCATGTGCAATAGGCTGAAGTGATATTGAACTCGCCATGAAAAGACGACCCACCCACTCCCATTGCTGCTAAACATGCTTTTGTTAACTTCCTCTTGAATGTTGTGCTGTCAACGGCTGCTGTGATCATAGTTGATGAAGCCTTATGGAGGAAGAAGGAGGTGTCTGTATGAGTTCAAAGGCTATTTCCCTCTTTGGATCCAAACTTGATCCTGTTTTCCCCATGCAGTGATGATGCTTTTATTTAGGGAATGTAGGGATGGGGGGTTGGAAGGCAGAATGTTTTTGCCCTTCATGAACAGTGATCGGAATCCAGTCTTGATTTCACGAATGTCAGTGGAGAAAACCTGTATTTGCCGAACAGAAGCTGAGATGAGAATGTAACTAGCAGCCACAGCTATGGGTGTTTGTGTGTGTGTGTATGCGTGCCCACACATGTATGCATGTGAGCATACTTTTTGTTGGTTTATTCCATTGTTGTGGTCTTCGTCCTTTTGCCACTGTTTCCTCTTTTGCCTTAGTCAACTTGTCTGAGCCTCACCCTCACATCCACCCATCAGAGACTTGTTTTGTGTGCAAATGTACCTGAAGGCACCTGTTCCATCTCACAGCAGCCTTGGAAGTCCTTATTGATTCACAGAAGAGTGGCTGTTCAATGTGTCTGTTCTGTCGCCGCTGGGCCTGTAATTGGTTGGCTTTAGAAATAGGATGTGTAACCTTTGCCCAGCAGGAAGCCAGGGGCCTAAGGAGAAGTTCTCAGAGGTTTCCACTACAAAGAATCTTCAGATGGCTAAATAAGTACAACAAAGTCTTTTATTAATGAAATCAAACAGGAACTTTAAGGCTTTCTGGATAAAGTATTGGTTCTCTCAATCTTGTCCACAGGGGACAGGCACTGTCTTCAATAACGTTTTCTTTAAAGGAAAATTCCCCTTTTTAACTTCTCCCAGGCTGACTGAAATCCAACCCTCACTGGTCTGGGCTCCGCTACTGGGCCGAACTGCTTCTCGGATGCCAAGTGGACCTACCAGCAAGGCAGTGGATATTCTCCAGCTGGAGTCCTTTTGTCTTTAGGGCTGTTTCCTGGAAATTCCCAAAGCCGAGGGAATGTTTCCATGGAGTTCCTTAGGAGTCTCTTAAAGCTGTTCTCCTCTGGATTTCTTTCCCTTCTGTTTCTGTTGGAATTTCTGTAACCCTGGAAATTCTTAAAGCTTGAAGCCTTTGTACAGGGGAAGTTACACACATCCTATACAAACGCTAACTAACCTGGCTGAGACCAACTAACAAAATGGCTCAGTTCCCTTCCAAAGCCCAAAAAAGGGGGCGGGACTAGGGAACCTAATGATAATTGACAAGCAATTAACCCAGTAACTGCAAAGTAAGGAAAGCCATCTAACTGCAAAGGTATAGAACTTAAAATACATGCAGTAATCAACAAATAGCAAGATAAGCTGGAACTCCTGGTGCAGCTGTACCAGAACAGTGTCCATTAGTGACATTGCAAGGAAGCATTGGGCAAAGCCATTGTGAGAACGAGGTGAGACGTCAATGAAATTTAATAATCCAAGTTTAGATATTTAGAAAGCCAAGCTCAGTTTCCCTCCTACAATGCAAGGTTGCCATATTGGCCTGGCTTCCCTGCTTTATTACACAGTTCCCCCCCCCCCCCCCGGGTTGTACTATTTCAGACTACAGGGAGATTCACATCATTGTTTAACCACACATTGGGTTCCTTTGCATAGAAAATTAGCATGTTTTGGGAAAGGCTGGATTACAGGCCTTCTTTCTTATATTTTTTTTCCCGAAGGAGTTTACTTACCTAGTAAACTTTACTTACCTAGTACACTTTGAGTTTGATGTAGTATAGACTTGACACTACTTATCACCACAGTAAAAAAATACAGGGTGAGGCAGCATAACTTCCTTTTCTTAAAATGTGCGCCATTCAGTCGGTTGAAGACGTAGCGGAGCGCTAGTTGTCTCGTTCGAGAGGCAGGAATATAAAGTTTTGTCCTGACACAGTTCAGTTGCCATCATGTGTTGGAACAGTGAGGAGCGTGCTTTT